TGGCCCCTAGAGGGCCCCAAGAGGGCCCAAGAGGCCTCCAACACGCCCAAGATGGCCTCCAAGACGCCCAAGATGGCCTCCAAGACGGCCCTGGAGCATTCTAAGCGGGCCCCAAGTCGGCCCATAGAGGCCCCCCAAACGGCTTCCGACGGCTTCAGACGTGCCAGGAACCCACCAAGATGGCCGAAGTTGGCTCGAAGCTGGCCCGAGACGGCCCAAAAAGCCCCAAAGATCGCCCAAAGCTTGCCCAAGAGGCCTCCAAGACGGCCAAGATGACCTTCAAGATGCCCACGTGTTCCCCGAAGGCTTTCCAAACCGATTCGGGGAACACGTGGTCCGATAGCTTGGCAGGTCTGGCCTCAACGTTCGGCCACATAGGCGCTTCCAAAAAGGCAGGGGGCGGCGGTGATTCGCCGTAGGCGTCTTCGATCCGCCGCCCCCTGTTGATTCATCACAGGGGTGCCTGGCGTGCTGAATCCAATCGGTTTTGGTTTTGGTTCTTTTTCCAAAAGAACTCCCCCTGGGGCTTCGGCCCGTCCCGCCGGCCACCCGGAAGGCGCTCAATTCCCCAATTTCCTGCCCAAGACGGCTCCAAGATGGCCTCCAAGATGGCCTCCAAGATGTTCCAAGATGGCCTCAAAGTCCGCCCAAGATGGTCCAAGACGGCCTCCAAGACAGCCCAAGAGAGTCCAAGACGGCCCAATACGGCTCAAGAGGCCTCCAAGAGGTCCTCCAGGAGGGCCCGAAGAGGCCAAAATCATTTATTATCCTTAGGTTTTTGAAGGACTTTGGACTTTGCTTATTCTCGGCATTCCGACGGCCCAAGACGGCCCAAGAGGCCCCCAAGATCGCCCAAGAGGCCCTGAGTGAGTGAGTCTAGGTATGAATAATCTGATTACGAGCGAATCAGAGTGTGAGTGAGTCTGAATGCAATGAGGAAGAAGAGGAGAGGGAGGAGGAGGCGGAGGAGGAGGGGGAAAAGACGGGAGGCATCTAAGCAATGACGCAGTAAATCTTGGGATATGGGGGGTAAAACAACCGCCGATCATGATGCCGCGGATCAATACCAACGACACCATACTAAACTGTCACATCAAAACTACGTAACCGATCCGGGAAACACATCACATGGAAGCTTACATATCAAACTGACCAACAACAAAACACATTGTACATGCAGTCTTTTTACTACGGTCGGGATTTTTTGCTTAGCGCATCTCGGCGGCAACCACGGCGAGACGCTATGCCCTGCAAGCTGATCGCGTGTCGCTCAGCTCCGCGGGACGGGAGGCTGGAAGATGCTCGGGACATTGACGCTCGGGGACCAGGACGTGTTCTGGCGTGTCCCGCAACGCGCGGTGGGAGAGAACTGGCGGCGCGACACGCGGAGCCATCGTTTTTCCGACCGCATTCTTGGTGTTACTGTGTCTCGGCCTCTTTTCCACCGTTGGTTGATTTTCCTCCTCCTCCTCCTCCTCCTCCTCCTTCTCCTCCCTCTCCAATTGATTCGATGTTGCCGGCCGTAGTGCTATGAATCAGGGGGCCTTTTGGCAAGCGAGGTGCTCAGCCCAGCACCCGCCTTTCGTTGCCATGCCCTAATTGCTCATGTGCCAGTTGGACACACGGCGTATTCTTATTCTTCTTCTCGGGAGCCAGGTATTGGCAATGGGGGTCACAACTACACCGGCTCCCGAGAGCACCCCAGAACCCAGAACCCCCCAAAGCGCACAGCGTCGTCCAAAATCTCCTCGGCCCTGAATCCTCAAGCCTCGGTCCTCGGGAGGAGTTGGCGACCCCTTAGCGGTCAACCCGGAGCATTGCCTGACCCGGCGCGCCAAGGAGGGGGCCAGGAAGAGAGACGCTGACGCAGATTGGCCCGAGGTAATTCCGTGGGCGACCTCGGAAACCTGAGCTCGTAAACCTCTTCATCTCTCAGGGGCACGCTTCCGCCGCCCTCCGCCGAGCGTCCGCCGGCTCCCGCCGGCGGAGGCGGCCTCGCTCTACCTCCGCCGATCTTAGGGGGCTGCATGCGAACCCTACCCCTACCCCCCACAGGGCGGGGTTCACTTCGCTCGGGAGCTCCCCCGAACGAAGTGAACCCCACCCTCCCCCTCAGAAATCGTGGGGGGTAGGGGTAGGTTTCGCATGTGGCCCCCCAGATCGTCCGCCGCCCCCTCCGCCGCGGGAGAGCTGCCGGCCCCTCCCAGCCTCGCAGGCATGCGGTCCTGGAAGCGCCCCACGTGCCCTCGGCCCTCTGCACGGCTCTTGCCTCTCCGTGGACCTCGCCTCCCCGATTCCCCCCCCCCCCCCCCGGCGTGGCCTGGGCCCCCCCGAGGCCGATCCCCCCCCCAGGATGCGCCTGGCTACAGGCCGCTCCCCTCGGGCTTCGAGGGGCGCACCCCCAGCTGGGGTGGTATAGCTCCGTGGTCCTCGCTTCCCCCCCCCCCTCCCCGGCGGCGTGGCCTGGGCCCCCCTGAGGCCGCCTCCCCCCCCAGGATGGGGCGGCCGCTCCCCTCGGGCCTCGAGGGGCGCACCCCCAGCTGGGGTGGTATAACTGAAGGGGCCCTGGGACACACAAACAAATACACACAAATGACAGGATTCCCCATATGTTCCCATATTTTCTGGGTCTGTGCCATCCCCCCCAAATATAGTTTCCCATATTTTCCTAGGAGTCGACGATTCATTGTGTCTGTGTGTTTTCTTCCCTCCTGAATAACTCGGAGGGTGTCTCGAAGGGGACCCGGGATTGGGAACGGGGACCGCTTACCGCCGACTCCCATATGGCCACGGCGCGCACCCCTCTTCGGCAGCCTGGGGACTGGCCGCGCACCTCTCGGCACGCCGCCGGCCGCCAGCGCCCGAGGCCGCCTGCGCACTCCTCACGGCGAAGACTCGCAACAGGGCAGGACCCAAACGTTGTGCATTCGTGCTGTTTCCGTTTTGTGGCTCGTTTTGCTCCGAGCTCCTGTTTTCGTTTCGCTCGGAACTCCTGTGTTTTGCTTTCGTTGCTTGGTTCGCTCTGTCTCCGTGCTGCTGCTCGTGTTGTTGTCCCTGCACCTCCGGCCGAGGCTCAGCAGAACGGCGTCTGGGCCCCCAGCCCCGACTCTCGGCGCCCGAGGCCTCCTCCCACTTGCCTCCTCCAGGGCCCGCCATCCTTTTAGCCCCCTTTGTCTCTCAGGGCTGAACCTAAACGGTGCTCTTCGTTCTCGTCTTCTTTTCGTGTTCCCTCGCGTTTTTGTCTTCAAGCCACCTCTGCCTCAGAACGAGGCCTCTGCACGGCTTGCTTGCCTCTCCGTGGACCTCGCCTCCCGGACACACACACACACACACACACACACACACACACACACACACACACACACACCCGGCGGCGTGGCCTGGGCCTCCCCCCCTGGCCGACCCCCCCCCCCCCTTGGATGGGGGCTACAGGCCGCTCCCCTCGGGCCTCGAGGGGCGCACCCCCAGCTGGGGTGGTATAACTCGGAGGAGGAGGAGGAGGAGGAGGAGGAGGAGGAGGAGGAGGAGGGAGGAGGAGGCCGAAGCGAAAGCGGCACACGACATCGCCAAAACACCGTTCAGGTCCAGCCCTTTGCCTGTGCACGCCCCTCGCCCCGGGCGCGGCCCGCCCATCGCCCCAGGCGCGGCCCTCCCCCGAGGCGAGGGCGCGAGCCCCCCGCGCGAGCGG